AAGCCCGCCTCCGCGCCAGCGTGCAGCAACAAGCTCATCGAGACGCGACGGATCCCGATCCAGCCGTGGTCGGTCCTCATGATGCCGACGTCGCTTCCGAGCCTCTCGGTCCCGTTGAAGGCCACGACTGTCCCGCGGTCACCCGCGGCGGTCGACTCCGTCATCGCCCACTCTGGGCTAGCAGGAACTGCAAAAGGCGACGAGCCTGCTGGCGCCGCCGGAGCCCCGCCCACCACCGCAGGCGCACCAGCGCCCAAGGGAGGAATGGCGGCGGCCGCCCCGGCAGCGACACCGAACCCAGCTGTTCGGCCATGCCCCACGCCAGCCAGAGCATCAACACCTCCAGCCTCGGCGCCAGCAGAAGCGCCTCCGGCTCCAGCGGCAGGAACCACGGCACCTCCACCGTCCACGCCGAAGTCGAACGCGACCCACGAGCCCCCAGCAGGAAGCACGGCTGGGCGACCTCCAGCGGTTTCGCGCGCCAGGTAGGTCTCGCCCGCCACCTGAGCAATCGCCGCCAAGATGGCTGTCTCCTCGCCTGCAGTCAACTTTCGCCGAAAGCCGTACAGCTGCGCAAGATCCAGCCCCCCACGATCGCGTCGACCCCCAACGAAGCGCACCCCGAGGACATCTGAACTTTCCCGACTGAAATTATCTTCATACACGTCGTGGTCGGGCGTGCAACTGATCATCATCATCGGATCCCTCGGAGGCCCGGGCGGCGGATCCACCAAGCGGCCCCAGATGCGGCGTTGATGCCACCGCCGCTCTCCGGCGAACAAGCGCGCACGTCCGGCGGAGGCGTGGTTATCCTCCAGCGCGGGAGGTCGCCGGCGCCTCGTCTGGTACCACGTTCGCACCGCCGCGAACCAGCGGATAGCAAAACCAGGACCGTCAGCAGGGCCGCCAAGGCGAGGTGCGCCACAGCGTAGCCAGCTCGGCCAGCCAAGTCCCGACCGACGGCCCCTCACTCGAGGCGGCACTCGGCGCCTCCGAGCGCGGCGGCGGCACCTCAGGGGCAGGCGCGGCCGTTACCTCCGGCACTGGTGGCGAGGGCGGCTCCCAAGGCGGGTCGCCTGGGCCGCTGCCAGCGACGCCGCTGGCCTGCAAGGGGGAGATCCCCGCGGGCACCGCAGGCTCGGGCACGTCGGGCAGCTCGCCGACGGACACGAGGGGCAGTTCAGGTGCGGGCGGCCAAGGCAGGGCGGGCACGGCTGCGATCGGGCGGGCACGGCCAGGGCAGGGCGGGCGGGCGGGCAGGGCGGGCACCAATATGCGGTCAACAGCGGAATGACGGTGCCCAGAAGCCAAAACCCGTTGCGGAGTCCCGGCATGAGGACAACACAACAGCTTGAGCATTGACGCGACATACGGTCGCAACGGCGCCCTCACCCCCTTACTCGCAGAGAATACCAGGCACGCCAGAGCAATACATACAGGGCCCCAAGTCCGCCGATCCAGCGTGTGAGTTTCTGAGAGCGTGGGCTTGAGCTCGCTCAAGCTTCGCTCTGGGGGGGGGATCCGGCGAATTATCCACG